GCGCGTACTCCTCGACGGCCCAGGAGGGCTGGCCCCGCCGCACCTCGGCCAGCTCGGTCAGCCGCATGTCCGTGTACAGAGGGTTGCTCTTCAGGTGGGCCTTGAGCGAGGTGGGGTAGGGGTGCGGGCTGAACACCTGCTCCACGAGGAAGTCCCGGGGCTGCTTGGGCCGGCGGTGCTGCGGGGGGACGTCGTACTGCCTGTCCGCCTGCAGGGGACACAGCGCGGGCGGGTCTCAGGGTGGCCGGGCAGCCACTCTCGGGCCCCGGGCCTCCCATGGACATCAGATGGCAAAAGGCAGGGATCCCCAAACAAACAGAACGGTCCTACCAGGAGCGAGCATTTCTGTGCCAGGGAGACACGGCTTTATCCAAGCCTCACAGCGCCCCTGCTCTCTCCCCGACCCCTCCCCGTGGCCAGGGAGGGAAACGGAGCCCAGAGAGGCTCAGTGACTGGCCCAGAGCGCACAGCAGCCCAGTGGTGAAGCTGGTGGTGAAGCTGATCTAAACCTCCTCGCCTGGCTTCAGGGAACCGTTGCTGAACCGTTACTGCCCGCTCTCTCTCTCCTGCCAACTTGTCCCTGGTGCCAGGGGTTAAAGACATGGCCTTTCCCGCCAGGAGCTTGAGGACACCCCGTCGCTGCTCCCGGAGGAAGGAGCCCGGCCAGAGCGCACACCTGGGGGCCTCCAGTGACTTTCAGAGACATCTGCGTGGCCTTCGAGATCCAGACAGCCGTGTGGACAGCAGTGGGGATGGGAAGGCGCCCAGCACAGCGGGCGCCCCTGACGCTCTCGGTCCCTGAGTTGCGTGGGCACCAGGGACTCTGTTCTCTGTCTGTGAAGCCTGCTACCGCCGGGCCTTCGGATACTTCCTCATTTTAACTCCAGGCCATCAGAGCCCTACAGAAGGCCACCTCCTCCAGGGAGCCCTCCTTGATGCACCGACACGGGGTCAGTGCCCAGCATGTCACTCCATGGGACGTGGACAGAGACCCGCGGCCGGCACTGTCCCTGGGGAACTGTAACCCCCCCCCCCCCCCCGCGCCGTTTGCCCATCCGTCTCCTCCACTGGCCTGGGAGCCCCCAGAGGGCAGGGCTCGCTGTCTGTCGGCCTTTTAACCCCCGACTCCAGGGAAATCGCTCCACGGAGCAGCTGTGTGTGCGGGGCTGTGGCTGACACCTGGGCTGGGACCAGCACAGCGCCCCATCCCCGCACCCCCGCATCCCCCTCCCCCACCCCAGTAGGACACGCTGGAACAGACGAGGGCTAATGCTGAGATGCCGACACTGATGGGGAGACAGCGGGGGACCTGTCTCAGCCCCAACGAGCAGGCGAGGCTGCCTCTCGGGTCCTAACCCATCAGCCGAGTGTCCTCCAAGAGGCTCCGGGATTGTGTTCCTTCTGCTCCTTCCCGCGACCCCGCCCTCACCGGCCCTCACTGAGCTGCCACTCCCTGCCCGCTGCACTG